AGGGCCCGTTAACCATAGCCTAAGTAACTCTCAACTCACACGATTGTCACCTCTTGTGAGAATTTCGGCCTCATCACATTTGAATGTGTGGCCAGGTCTCGTCGAATGAGCCACAACTTGAGAATTGGCATCATATTGCCGCACCACTGCCGCGTGTTCGGCATTTTGTGTATGTAGAAGTCTGCCAGTTTCTCCGACATAGTTGCTTTGCCCGCAACTGCACCAGATCCTGTTAACGACTACAGATGCAGTTTTTAGCTTTCAAAGACAGAAATGCCTTTGCGCCAGTAAAATGTGTCGCATTCGAAGAGAAGTTGTAGAATACGAGTCTGTTTATCCTTGCCTACAAGATATAAACATCCCCAAACTATAGACCAGTAAAGTAAAAAAATGTATTTGGCTGCTGAGAAACAGCGTGCTGTTTTTGTTTGTTATCCAAAGTTGTATTAAGGCATATTTTAACTCAATAAAACAAAGATATGTTTGCGTCACTACAAATTAATATTGTCATGGTTCTTTCGCCAGCGTTTAAAACAATAAACGTTCTGAGTTGTCTGGGGGAGGGGGGGGGGACTTCTGTACTTGTCACGCTTCCGACTTTCTGTTAGTACAGGAGATCGTTTTTTCATCAAGGGTTAGATATTTCGGCCTAAACAATATGACATATGGTTGCAGTCAAATACATCATGGGATAGACTGGTCATGGACAAAAGAGTACATTAAGTACTCCTGCTCCTCCACCTCCTCGTGAAAAAACTGCGTCAGATATTTGTAAGAAGGCTCACATTTCCAAAGTCCACATGAGAAAGTCTCCCCATGTTGAGCAGAGCTTAATGCTTTAACTTGCAATAATTCGTTCGTCAAACATTCTAACAGTTTTTGTTGCTGGCCGAACGGACAAGCTACCGTGCCGCTGGTAACTGTTTTTTTTGGGGGGATGTGGTGATAACTTATTAATCCTTCCGTCTGTTACTTTGGTGCCGAAATGTCTTTACAACTGAGAAGTACGTGTGACATGACTTTTATGCGCCTAACTTTTCGAAATCCATCGCAGATCATCACCCAGAGCCAATAGCAGTCATTAGAGAAACTTCAAGCGTTTCTGCTATTGCCTCTGAAGGCTCCGTGACGGATTTCGAAACGATAAGCCAAAATACATTTTGTCTCAGTTATCACATCTAATTCCACGCAATTACTTCCTGGGACTCGCATGTTCGCTTGCGTTTGCGATTGTTCGCAACTTCAGAGTCCATCTTTCTCTCTTACTAAAGTACAGACCACAATCTCAAAACCCTGGTATCCTTAAAAATAAGAAATTGCGCAACTTGAATTTTTGCAATTCCCATTTTGGTGAACTAATCGAGTGGACTAGCTTCCTTGCTGCTCGAAACTGTTTTTAAGGATATGGTGATATCTAATTAATCATCCCACCTGTCAATTTGATGCGGACATTCTTTAGATATTTTTTAAATATTCATTGAGGTCTCGTTGTCCAACGGCCATCTTCCTATCTTATTAAAGTACAAAACGCACTCTCGAAACCATTGTTCTTGCATTATTAATTCGCGTTCTTGTAAACTGTGCACGTGGTACTATCTATTTTCGCAGAAATAGACTCCTCCATAGTTGATTTAAATATGCTTTCTTTATGTGCTAGGCATGTTTCACCCGTTACTGTGCTTGGTTAATTGCCTGCAAACATCATGGTCAATTATCTGTCGGTATTCGTGTAGCCTGGCGTGGCAATCTTG